CTAGGAGTTCTTGCCCATCTAGAGCACCATCTCTGTCCCGTGCTCCTACTCTTGTATTCATTCAAAACTCTCCAGGAGCATCGATGTGGGTCTTGCCTCATTCTGGTCCTCAAGATGCACGCGGTGCTGTTACGGAGCTCCCAGGGCCACAGTCAACCAGCACTTCCTCTAAGAAGCATTTATTTAGTGTCTACGGTATACAGGGTCTTGGGCTTGTGCACGGATTAGAGCAAGGGTGGGGAGTCGGTGCCAGGGCGAACATGATGCCCTCAGGAAACACAGCTCTGTGAGGGTGGGCAGCGCAAAACGAGGGCTGGGAGCCTGGCTTGAGGCTGGTGTGACCTGGTGCAGAAAGTCTGTCATGGAGAGCAGAGGAAAGATGATCTCCCAGGTCCCACCACCTCACGACCACGATTGCGTTCGTGTTTCTTCCTGCATGGGATTCATCACTTGAAACCATAGGTCACATTCTGGGTTTTGCTCACTATATTGGTTGCCATTTTCCACATTAATACATAGACTTCATAACATTCATCCAAAAGTCTGCATAACGTCCCATCCACTGGTGGCCAGGGTCCACTGGTGGCCAGGGTTTAACCAGCCCCTGGTGCTGGGCTATTTGGTTGTTTTCTTTTCTTTCTTTCTTTTTTTTTTTTTTTTTAATATATCTTTATTGATTTCAGAGAGAGGAAAGGAGGGGAGAGAGAGAGAGATAGAAACATCAATGATGAGTCATTGATCAAGCCCGCAACTGGGCATGTGCCCTGACCGGGAATCGAACCCCGATCGCCTGGATCCTAGGTCGATGCTCAACCGCTGAGCCACGCCCGGCCGGGCTATTTGGTTGTTTTCAGTCGCTCACTGGTATGAGGAGTCCTGTGTACAAGGATTTCCACATGTGGGATTGTTTCCTCAGGGTAATTTCCCCAAAGTCAGATCACTGGATCCCGGAGTTCTTGTTGCACATGGGCACTGAGGACTTCAAACAGATCAGACATGTTGTAACCCTAAGTAGGGGTTGTCCCTTGGATTTTGTTTCTTGGGTCGGATTCAGTTTTCCACCAGAGATCACCCCAGTGTGGACATGGTTGGGAAGGGAATTCCCAATCAGAGGAACAAACCCAGCCCGACCTGTGTCCACCCAGAGCTGAGGATGAGGGGGGGGAGAAGGTTCTAAGGATGGGGCTGGGCCTGGTTCAGCCCTACCCCACCTTTTCAGCCAGCCCTGCCCTTCCGGAGGCCTACACAGCCTACCCCAGACCCTGATGTAGGTGGGCACACGGAAAGTTGAGTTGAAAGGAGAGCTGACTTAGAGATTTCCAAGGGGAAAGTCTAGAAAGACCTGGGGACCCCAGTGGTTCATTCATTCAATAGCATTTATTAAGTACTTGTTAGGCACCAAGCATGGTTCATCGAGAGAGACATGATCCCACCCTATGGACCAACTGCCTCTAAGGAGAGCCCACCAGTGTCTGTAGAACCCAAAGGTAAAATTATAGTGACCTGGAATTACCAGCAGGAGGGACTAAGAGGACCGGTACCAGGGTTGTTTGGCTTGGTCAGGGAGGTCAGAGAAGACTTTGTTGAGGGAGCCAGTGGGCAGGAGTGTGGAGAGTTGGGTGTTGGAGACCTGAGGTACGTGTGGGTGTGTGTGGGGGGGGATGATGATAAAGGCTACAGGGAAGAGGAAGCCCTGCTGAGCCTTCAGGCCACAGGTGAGAATTTTGGCCCCATTTCCTAAGGGCCAGGGGAAGCTGTTAAAGGATTCGGAGCTGGGGAGGGGTGGCAAGACCAGATTTGCCTTTTAAATGTTGGTTTTGGTTGCCCAGTGGAGAATGGCCTGGAGGGGAGCCAGAGGAAGTGGGGAACCTGCTCAGAGAGGAGCAGCCGATCCACAGGTGTCCCGAGAACCCCTAGGAGCCAGCTCTCTGCTCAGCACTCAGAAGGCAGAGAGAGGCTGGAGCCTTGGACCGCCGATGCTCTCTGTCAAGAGAAGGGCCCATGGGCACCCTGGCCAGGACCCAGGGTCGCTCAGCTAGACCCCTACCTCACTCCAGGGGAGCCAGGAGCAGGAACACAAGAATGCCTCTGAAATGCTGGCTCAGCTTTGGCCCTGCTCAGCTAACGCCTCCACACTTGACCACATAACCCTTGTTTTCCATACAGATCTGACTCGGCCTCCTACTAAGCTGGACCGCCGCTGAGAAAGGGCTGGGGCTGCTGGGGGCCATCGAGGATAGCAGGGTGGCGTGACTGCTCCCGGCAAGGGACAGGCCATGAAATAAACACCCGACACAAAGGGCCTGTGTGTCCGTGTAGGAGAGCCCCGCTCAGGGAGGGTGGGGGTGCGGAGAACGGCATGTGCAGAATGCGCCGAGGAGCCGCTGGGCAGAGGAAGGACGGGCCCCGACTAGCGGGCCACGAGGTTAACGCAGAAGAGGGGCCTCGAATATAAAGATAGACTCCAAAGGTCAGGGCAGTCTCGGGAGTCCAGACTCACGACACAGAGTCACCGAAGGTTAATGTGGATGAGACCTCGGGGACATCTCACCCGAATGGGCGAGCAGGCCTGATGGATGGCAGCGGCTGCTCCGAGGGGAAGCGGCTGAGGCCTCCAGCTCCGGAGGCCAGGGACGGAGACCTGCCGAGGGCTGTGACGCAGCTTGAGGCGGCGTCCTGCTGCTCAGGCTCAGGTTTCCATGGGGAGGTGGGTGGTGGGACCAGGAGCCGGCCTCCCTCCTTTGCCCTCCCTCCACTCCCTCTTCCCCTCCATCTTCTCTCTCCCCCTGCCCACAGTTGTCTTACTTGAGCCTGGAGGAACCAAGGGTCTGTTTAGCTTTCCCCCCACGTAGGGTTCCCTGGGTGACCGGGGCCTTGGAGGAGCAGGAGAAGGGCCAGGGTGGGGCCTGGGGGGGGGACGGTGGCTTGCAAAGGGGGCTCCTTGGCCAGTCTGTCCCTTCATCCTTGGTCACGGCCTCCTCACTGCACCGCAATTCACAAACTCCTTCCTGTGAACCCTCACCAGCCCCTGAGGGGGTGGGCGGTGTGGGTGGCCTCATTTTATATATGGGGAAACCGTACCTACACCTAGATCTGAGCCTAGAGTCCCCATTTGGAAAACGGGCAAAATAAACCCTCTCTGAAGGTTGTAGTGAGGACTGAGGGAGATGCAGGGCTTCGGGAAGGCTAGTGGCCAGGGCACGACGGCTGCCCAGGAGATGGAGCCGCTGCTTCTCACAAGTGGAGCTGGGATTTGATCTCAAGCCTCTGGCCTCTAAGCCTGACATGGTGACCATTCTACCATCCTGCTCGCTTATGAGAAAAAAGATAAGGAGCTCCCTTAACCCGCCCGCTGGAGCTGGGGCTCAAGTGCAGGCTGCTGGGCCCCAGGACGGTGCTCTTTCCGCTGCTGCCCAGGTGACCGCGGCTTCCTCATGAAACAGCGGTCCCTGCCCACCCCAGACCTGCCCTCCCAGGAGGTGGGAACAGCAGCAGACCAAGGGTGTGGAGATGAGTTGGGAAGCTCGCTAAGGATAGCATCTGACAAACATCGAGCACGCCTGTGCTGAGTGCCCAGTGTGTACAAGAGGACCTGACTGCTCCACCTTCCAGGAGCATGCAGTCCAGACCCAGCTGGGAGGGAGGGGACCTGTATTCACCACCTGTTGGGTGATTGGGGGGGTTGCGCTCCATCCACCTTTGGAGCAAACTAGGGTGTTTGATGGGGGTTTCCTGTCTGCTCCACCATACCATCTTGCGCCCACACAGATGGTGACACCTACCACAAGCAAGAGGATAACAGGACTAGTGATTGTGGCATGAGGATGGAGGGGCAAAGGGAGGCTTTCTGAGGAGGGGGCTAAGCTGAGCCTTTTTCCAGCGAGCACAGGTGACCAACCTGCTATGTGCTCCATCCAAGCTCTAGGTTAGACCCTGGGAGGCAGGTGCAGGAGACACAGGAGCTGGAGACCTAGGACGCTGGGCCAGGGTGTTGGCTCCCAGCAGGGACCCCCGAGTGGGGGGCAGAGGGGTGGTGTTTCAGGCAGCTTTGCCAGATAGTGGCAGGTGGGGTGGAGTGGTGCAGGCATGGGGGGACTGAGGCAGGTCAGCCAGTGAGGAGGTCCGCAGGGGCAGGAGCAGGACCAGGGCTGGGCAGTGAGGAAGGGGAGACACTGATGTTCACAGGGGGCACGGGCAGAGCGGGGAGAATCCGAGGGCATCTCTGAGACGCCCAGTGGTCCCGCAGCTCCCTAATGCTGGCTGAGTCCCAGGGGTGCCCTCTCTGTGACTGTCCAGGCAGCCAGTGTATATTAATCGTTTGCTTAGTGCCAGCCACTCAGTTCTCAGGGCCAGAGAGGCTGCCCTCCAGGGGCCTTCCAGTTTCTGCTTATGTCACTCCTAAGTGACAGGAGGTTCATATCTCCCAGGCCACCCTTTCAGCCCCGCGACAAGGGTTCCACGCATGGTCTGCCCTTTCCCTGGCTGTGGAGCCTATGTGCCCACTCCTGAGTGCTGAAGCACAGAGCCCGAGGCAGGGGCAGGGTTCTCTTCTGCACTCAGTGGGCAATAGAGACAGGCAGACTCGCCCCAGTCAGCCCTGTCTGTATATTGCTTGAGCCCACAGAAGCCTCCCTGAGGAGCTGTGAGGCAGAGCGTGTAGCTGTGGGCCATCCATTCGTGGAGGATTTCAGGTACCCCCCCACCCCACTCCCATCTGGTCATCGGGCGCCCTGAGTGTGGCGCTGGCCCTTTAAAGCAGATCAGGGGCTGGCTTTTGGGGGAAACAGCCCAGATTTCTGCTATCTGCTTACATGCCTGGGCCAGGGAGGGGGGCCACCCCAGCCCCCAAAAGGGGCATTGGAAGGGCAGGTGGAGCTGGTAGCATTGATTGCGGTAACCTGATCCCGCGGGGGAGGCGGCAGCGACGGAGGCAGCAGCGCATCGGCAGGGGAGGAAGCTGCCTGCAGCTGAGGGCTGGGCAGGAAGAGCTGGGGCTGGGGCCTGGGTCCGCAGCCGCCGCCTCCTCTCCCGGCCCATGTATTTTTAATGAGCTCCCCAGGCTTCTGCAGCGGGCAGGACGCAGAAAGGCATGCCCAGGCCCAGGCCTGTGGCCCCAGCCCTGCCCAGAGCCCTGGCCCCCCTACCCTTCTGGGCATGAGAGGGTGGCCCTGGGGCCCTGAAGCCCCCTGGCCGGGCAGGGCTCTCCATGCAGCTCTTCCTGAAGATGGATTCAAGCCCAGACAATGACAGCTGGTTGGAGGATCAGTGGGAGCACTGGTAGGGGTGTGGGGGTTGGTGGGGA